CAGATCAAATGAATATACTATTATTTTTTTTAATGTGGCAGGTGAAATAAACCACAACGACCATGACTGAATTTTAGTACACAAAGGCATTGGGGCTGGAAAGATAATCGGCTCTGCGGTTAAGAGCATTGGCTGCTCTTGCAGAGGACCTGGGTTCAATTCCCAGCACCCACATGGGGCTAACAACCATCCTTAACTCTTAGTTCCAGAGGATCCAACACTCTCTTCTGACCTCTGAGGGCACTGCACAACATGGGTACACCCACCAACACACAAGCATATTATATTTATACACATAAAAAATAAAAAATAAAAAAATATTTAGTAAACAAAGCCCATTTTGTGTAGAAGGTTATTAGCCTAAAGCAAATAGGTTTGTCATCCCTGTACTATCTCTACAAGCATGAAAAATCTGATTTGGTAGAATGAGTGGAATGAGGAAAAGCTGAACTTCAAAGTGTATGGCAGGAGCTCATTGGTGGCACAACTCTGCCCCATGATGTTTAAGAGAAGCCTCTACAAGAAAACTTCCTCCAGAACCTAGGCTTTGTTGTTGATTCCTAAGTATGTGACCCTGGGTGAAGATACTTGGTATCTTCAGCTACAAAATGGGGCTAATAATGGTACTTAATATTAGTACCCCAAAGCACTGCTATATGAATTAAGTGTATAGCTGTTAAGTGATCAGTATGATGGATGGCATGTAGGTTAGAGCCCAATGATCACTCTTCCTTTGCAACATGAACACAAGGCACATGGCAAAACTTTGAAAATAGGTACCACACATCCCTTTCTCACAATCCTCTGCAAACTCATACTAGTAGAGGCATGCACTGTCACCCTGTGTTCAAATAAAGCTTTTCAGAAATCATTTATCTAACAGCCAATGGTTAAAACCTGTTTCCTTTGCGTAGTTTTCAAGAAAGGGCAGACATAACCAAGCAAAGATCTTGAAACACATGCATTACTCAGGGTGGAAATATCTTCTGTCCTGACAAGCTTCCTTTAAGATATCACCACTTTGGAGCCTTTGTTAGGATTCCTTTTTCTGATGTTTTCTGCACAAAGGAGTCTTTGTTGGCACAATGGCTTCTTCACTGGTTTTTTCAATCTTTTCACACCAATACTTCTACCAGAGAGTAAATAAAATTCATCCCCCTTTCAAAAGAGCTAACTGAGAAAGTTTCCAGAGTGTCATTCTGATTCAAAACAACAAACTCACTAGCTACACTACTTCCCGTCTCTCCTTCCTCTCAAACACCCACGTGCAGTATTTCCCAGGCCATTCCTCCCTAACACCATCTACCCGGGCAGCTCCACCCAAGGTCTCCATATATGGTGGTACCTCACACCCACCCAGCGTCTTTGACAACCAGGAACACACTCTCACTCTCACTCACCATAAGCAGGGAGCCAATCCCCAACCTAAGAAGCCAAACAGAACTAAGCTCCTCCCTCTACAGGCATACTTCATTAGGTTGTAAAGTTTTAAAAAAATTGAGGAAATTAAAAGGAACACCCCTATCCCAAAAAGCACTTCCACACTAGCCCTCGATAATTAGATTCCAAACGTCATCCATTTGCCTAACCTATTACTTATAAGAATACTCCTCCCTTTGGGGACATAAGCAGTCCTAGTGGGACCCAGTGCCTGCATTAATGAAGTATGTTCAGACAATCCTAAGCCCATTATTAAACCCAGGCAGCCGCAGACCTAAGCTCTACACAACCATTCAAAGACTTTCAAGGTCTAGTTTTTCTGCACGTCAGACCAGAAGCCAACTTTCCGGTGGCCGATTTCTGAAAACGGAGGGAGGGAGTGGGGAACTGACTGTCGCGTTACCAAGGTAACTGCAAAACGTCCCACTGCTGAGGCCCAGGAGACCTTTTTTTTTTTTAACGTTTTTTTGGTTTTTGTTTTTACCTTCAGATCTTTCTTGGTAACCTCAGTATGGGAAACAGCTCGAATGGTCCCGGAGAGCCAGGGCCACTCGGCGACGCGCTCCACGTCCCAGCTGTCGTGGGCGCCGTCGCTGCCCTCTGCCGCGGACAGGCTGAGGAATCTTTTCCCCACCAATACTGGCCAACTTTCTCCGAGCGTGAGCACCATGGTTTCCACGCCGGCAGGAAGGGCTCCTCCCTGCAAAAGGCACAAAAACAAATGCAATGGGGGGCGGTCGGGGCTGGGAGCGGCCCGAGAAAGCGCGGCGGGGTCGGGAATCGCGGGGGTGACACCCCCTCAGGCGGATCCCGCACCCCAACCCTCCACCCGCGCCTCCCAGCCCCCCGCCCTCCCCCACTGCAAACACGGGCCCAAGCGCCGCGTGACCCTCGCGCTCCAACTTTCGCTTTTTCCAAAACCCTTCAACCTGGACGCTGAGGGGAGACCAGGGCTGCGGCGCCAGCACGTCCCTCCAAGTGTTCGCCTCCCTCACGCCGGGAGAGAAAAAGACTCCGTCGGCGCAGAGAGCGTAAGCGAGAGCCCGTCCCCGCCCCGGGGCCGCCTAGCCGAGACGCCGTGGACGAGCTCCCCACTCCCGCACTTGCCGCGCCCCCGCCCCCCGCTTCCGGGCCGCTCGACCCCGTTCACAGCTGGCCGGGCCTGCGCCCCCGAAGCCGAGGCGACGCTGCGCCCGCGCGGGCCTTTCACCTTTCTCGTTCAGGCTCCGCGAAGCCCAGGCCCGTGGCGCTCGCTTACCCCGCCTCCCGCCTCCCTGAGTCACCCCCGGCGGCGGCCACAGCGCCCAGCCGCCCAGCCGACTCCAGCTCTGACTTGGTTCAAGAGCTCTCTCTCACAAGACACGCACAGCCTCATGGGCCCGCCCCCTCGGAGCCGCTGCCTCCGCTTATTGGCTAAGTCCCGGGATCTGGGCGGGGCGTCAGAGTGAATAGCCCGTTTCTATTGGTCGACTTGAAGAGGGCGGAGCGATGGAAAAAAAAACAATTCCTTGGCTGCCTCCTCCCTTTCCCCCCCTCCAACTCGCGGCCGACCCCCATTAGAGCATGCCGAAGACAGGCGGCGGATCCTTCCGCCGCAGCGCCATTCTTCCATTTGTTGCCTCGCGCTACGAAAAAAAGTCCCACGGAATCGGTTATCAACTTTGAAGCGGGCAGAAAATTGCTCAGGCTCACAGACCAGACTGAATGGGGAAATCGAAGGCCGTGAGCGCCTATTGGACTGCTCGTCAAGTGCGTCGGATGTCGACAGAAGATGGGCCTTCCACTCGGCGGAAGAATCTCACAGGAAAGGGGTGGGGGCGGCACGAAGTCAGCGGGGGAGGGACGGCGAAGGGACGTGCGGTTTCAAGCGTACTCAGCTAGAGGGAGGAGCGCCAAGGCTCGAGAGGCTCGTGCGCAGGCGCCAGGCGGGGCGGACTCTCGAGCTTGGGCTGATGGGTGAAATGGCCGCGGGAGGCGCAGGCGCACGTGGTGTTGGTCTTGACTGTCTAGGTCCGCCATTTTGAAGGGTAAATGAAGAAAGGCATGGAGTTACTGGAAAATGATGTCCATTAAATCTAGAGCCAAACAATCTGTTTAGTACAATATGTTTGGAGGGTTTTTTTTAATGTAAAGTGGTGATAAGAAGATGTTCTGAGACTTCACAAATTGAGAAAGTAGAGTCCATAATGCAAGTGATAATGAAAGAGGTGACTTTGAAGGGCAAAAGAGATTAAAAGGTGATTATGTATTTGGACCGGAAGATTCTTGGTTGAATGAAAAAAAAGAATGAGGAATTGAAGACTTCTTTATAAAGACTAGTGCTTGACCTGTTATCACATTTAATCCTTAACATAATGAGAATTCCTAGTATTAAATTTACAAGTGTGAAAATGGGAAATAACTTCAGAAGTGTATTAGTAAATATGCAATGCAAATTAATGTCATGTTCTTTTGAGCATGTGTTTTCTGAAAATGTGGCACTAAAATGTTAAAGTTTACGATAATGCTAAAGAAGAGTTGGGTTTGTTATGTGCACGTCATTGAAAAGGCAGAAAATGGAACAAAGAAACCTCTCCCCATCAACAAAATATGGAAAAGGGGAACAAGAAAAAAAAAAAAAACTAGAAGAAAGTATGGTAAAAGTAAAATGACAGGAGTACTTACCATTTGTGTTTACACTAAATATAAATGGGTTAATTTCATTCAGAATCACAGAAAAGTACTTGGTTTTATGATATTTAAATAATTCTGGACACAAAACTACAGTATAAGAAATGAATATATTAGGCTATGTTTTTCAATTAAAATGTAATCAATTGAAAATACTGCAGCAATATCACTATACAGTTATGAATCATTTAATAAGAGCCATATATTCTGAGAAATGTTAGGTAAATTTATTATTGTGCTAACATCATAGTATACTTATGGAAGCTAATGTGATTAGGTCATTAAGTGATAAAATCTTTGGGGGTCACCATTGTATATGTGACCTGAAATGGTGTTATACAGTAGATAACTGTAACTGAAAGTAAATGCCCGAAAGGAGAAAGTATTTTACGTTAATAAATGATACAGTCTATAAAGATAATACATATTACTGAACTATTATACTTATGACGGCATGGGCTAGGTTAACAGTATTAAAATTCAAGAACGTTTTGACAACTTGTAAATACTGTAAATGCATCTATCCAGAACTAAGTGCCTTGGAGCAACTTAAAAATGAGACTGTGGGGCTAGAGAGATAGCTCAGCAGTTAAGAGCTCTTGCTGCTGAGGACCCAGATTCAGTTCCCAGCACCCACATGGCCACTAACAACAGTAACTCCATTTTCAGGGGAATCCAATGCCTTCTGGCCTCATTCGTTACATGAATGTAGTGCATTTACATGTATTCAGGCAAAACATTCATACACATAAAATGTAAATAAATAACTTTAAAAAACAAGATCATCAGGGCTGGAGAAATGGTTCAGTGGTTAAGAGCGCTGGTTGCTCTTGCAGAGGACCTGGGTTTGATTCCCAGAACCCACATGGCAGCCAACAATTATAACTCCTGTTCCAGGAGAAATCTGATGCCATCTTCTGACCTCTGTGGGCATTGAATGACGTGGGTGCACTTACATACATGCAGGTAATACACTCATACAAAATGGAAATAATAAAAATAAAATTTTTTTAAAAAGACCATGTGGAAGACTTAGGTCACATAACAAATAATTTGAAAAATAATTGCTAAGATACAAATTCTGTTACAACACAAGGAGCATAATTCTATTTATTTATGACTCCAGGATGAGAAAAGATAGAAATATATCTGATATACTTGATGAACTTACAAAATCCTATTACAAATCTGAACCAGGAGACTAGAATAAAGGAAAACTATGGTGCAACTATACCTAAAAACATAGATATAAAGTTTATTTTTACTAGAATTATTAGAAAGTACTTTTAATTTTTTAAATTATTAGCATATAGACATAAAATAATTTCATTATATTTTCATACATGTATATAGTGTACTTTGATTATATACATTGCCTATTGCTCTTCTTTTTAAAAAATATTTTATATTATTTTTATTTTATGTGTATAAGTGTAATGCCTACATGTAGGTAGGTGCACCCCTGTTGTGCAATGCTTGAGGAGGTCGTAAGAGGGCATCAAATCCCCTGGAACTGGAATTGTAGATGGTTGTTACCTGCCGTGTGGGCACTGGGACACAAACCTGGGTCCTTTGCAAGAGCAGTCAGTGCTCTCAACTGCTGGCTGTCTCTCTAACCCCATCCTCTCTTCTTTCCCCCTCCCATTCCTGCTGGTCCTGTCCCTCTTCCTGAGAAGTCTCACCTTTATTTTCATGGTAGATAGAAAATTAGTATATAAAGAATCAACAAATTAAATCCAGTAGTATAATTCTTAATCCACATAATTAATTAGTGATATAAATATAGGTTGTGCAAAGATTCGAAGTTTGCTATAATTCACCACAGTGGTTGAAAGAGAAAAGTCATCTGTTCATTAAAAGGGAAAAATGTTCTCTTTTAATATTCAACTTAGAAGATAGTAAAAAGTACGCACTCACATTTAATACCTATTCATGATCTGAAAAATATTTCAAAACTGCCTAGAAAACTTGAAAAACACCTATACACTCAGCATTGTACATGCCAGCATTCAGTGGCTGTAGGAAGAAAAATGGAAATATTAAATGTTCATATGGGAAATGAGTAAATGGAACAAGGTGTGGTGGCACACAGTAATCCAAGCACTTGGAAAGTGTGGGGAGGTAGGAGATCTCAGGTGCTCAAAGCCAACATCAGCTACATAGTGGATTCAAGGTCAGCCTGGGCCACCTGAGGCCCTGTCTTAAACAAAAAGGAAAGAAGGGAGGAAGGGAGGGAAGGAGGGAGAGAGGGAAGAAAGGAGGGAGAGGAAAAATAGATGAATACATAGAATGTGATTTATATATTAGAAAGCTACAGAGCACTTGAAAAGGAAAACTAAATGTGCCAGCAAATTATCAAAATAAACTTTGACTGAAAAAATGTTGCATTTGGCACCCCTTCATAATACACATACAAAAATACTATATATGGCCCATTAAGTGCATTGAAACTTATACTGATTGCTAATATGTGAAGGTACACACTAGAATTGGGGATACTAGTCAAAGGCAATTAGCATTATTTGCAATCTCATTTTTAATTTAGATTTTCACCTTATTGACAAGTAGCAATATATTTATATATGGTGTGTATCTATATGTATATGATGTATGTGTATGTTGCAAAGTGGCTGCATCAAGCTACTGAACACTTAAATTATTTCCTATATATTAGCATTTTGTGAAGAGAAAACTTGAAATCTACTTTTAGCAGTTTTCAAGTGTACACTGTATTATTGCTATTGTCATCATAAAGTACAATCAGTTTCTTGGACTTTGCTTCTAACTAAAATTTTGTGGGTGTTTTGTTTTGTTTACCAATCTCTCACCAATTTGTAAATTCTCCCATTTTTATGATATGTTTGGGTTTTTAAATATTTTGTTTTTATATGGTTTTGTGTGTGTGTGTGTGTGTGTGTGTGTGTGTGCACGCATGAGCATGTGGGTGTCCAGCAAGGACATCACATCCCCTGGAGCTGAAGTTACAAGTGCTGTGAGCTGCCTGATATAGGTGCTAGGAATTGGACATTTGCTGTTCTTAGCCACTGAGCAATCTCTCCAGCCCCAAAATGAATATTTCCATATGTTATATATATTTAAAATCTGAAGTTAAAATCCCATTAATAGCAGGGTGTAGTGGTGCATGCCTTTAATTCCAGCACCTGGAAGGCCTAGAGATAGGAGGATCTCTGTGAGTTCAAGGCTAGCCTGGTGTACACAAAGAGATCCAGGCAAGCCAGGGCTACATAGTGAGACTGTTTCAAAAAAGAAATTTTAGGAGCTGGAGAGATGGCTCCTGCTGAAGACCCAGGTTTGATTCCCAACACCCACATGATGGCTAACAACCATCTGTAACTCCAGTTCCAGGGATTCTGACACCCTCTTCTGGCCTCCATGGGCACTGTATGACACAGGTGCATACATGCAGACAATACAGTCATACATATAAAATTTTTTTAAAAATATTTTTTTAAAATACCATTAATAAAAATCTATGAAATTAACAATTGAAGAAAAAAAATACATATGGTCTTAATAGATGCCAAGAAAACATTTGGTAAAGCTTTCCTTCCATTCATTATAAAGATTTTAGCAAATCATAAAATTTTCCCATAACTTAATAATGGATATCTACCAGAAATATATTTAGATATCACAGTTACAACTTTAGGAATCCCTCTAAAGTCAGGACCAAGATAAAGATACTCAGTGATATCAGTATCATAACATTGGTTATGACTTCATTTATTATTATATGACTTGATTTAGCCGTTTCTCAAGTTGCAATAGAGGTTCAATACTAATGTAATTAGACAAGAAAAATAAATAATAAAATATATTACATCATATAAACATTGGATTGCAAGAAAAAAAATATGAGTGTTTTGCCTGCATGTATATAGGTATACTGTGTGTGCAATGCCTATAGAGGGCAGAAGAGGACATTGGATTCCCTAAAACTGGAATTACAGATGACTGTTAGCTGCCATGTGAGTGCTGGGAACCAAATGGGTCCTGTGAAAGAACAGCTCTTAACTAAGCCAGCTCCCAAGCCCTCCCCTCTTTAAATTATTTTTGAGATAAGAGCATTAGTGGCAGATGATTATACATACTATGGAAATCAGGAAGGTGATGCAATAAAAAAATCAACAAACACATCAAAGAAGCCAGAGATATAGCTCAGGCTCAGTAGGGTAGAGTCCTTGCCTAGTGTGTGTGAAGGCCTGGGCTTAATCCCCCAGCACCACATAAACTGGGCATAGTAGTGCAATCCTGTAATCCTAGCATTTGGGAAGTGGAGGGAGGAGGATCAGGAATTCAGGGTCATCCTCAGCTACATAGAGAGTTTCAGGCCAATCTAGGATATATGAGAACCTGGCTCAAAAAAAAAAAAAACAATTTTTTTTTTGTTTAGTTAGTATCAATTAGAACATATAATAGATAGAAATAAACCACTAATGATTTTATTTTATTTTGGTCTTTTTGAAACAAGGTCTCCCTGTAGCCCTAGCTGGCCTAGAGCTCACTATGTAGACCAGGTTGGCCTTGAACTCACAAAGATCTGCCTGCTTCTGCCTCCCAAATGCTGAGACTACAGGTGTGCACTACCATGCCTGGCTTTTTTTTTTTTTTTTAAGAAACCGCTAATGATTTTAAAAACTACAAAACACCTAAAAAAACATGAAATGTAGAAAACTATAAAAATTTACTAATATGTGTAAAAGATAATGTGAAAGTTTAAACTCCATGTATGACTTGATAATTTGGGGGGGTGTTTGTTTTCTTTTCCTTGAGACAGGGTCTCCCTGTAGTCCCAGCTGGCCTGGAACTTGCTATGTAGACCAGGCTGGTATTGAACTCACAGAGATCCACCTGCCTCTGCCTCCCAAGTGCTGGGACTACAGACGTACGCCACCACGCCCAG